ACAACTGGACTACACGCGACCCATTCACCTCCACACTGCTCAGCGTTTCACTACCTAAAGCAGCCAACGTCCACTACTACCACACGACTTCACTCCACACTACAACCAGCGACAACACCAACTACGTCATCATCCAACTCCAGATACCTCACTTCAGGACAATTTCTACACTTCACAAGGGACTACATCTCCTACATGATGTCCATACAGCAGTACCTTTGGAACTACCACATGCCCCTACTACTACCTGAACTACTCCACTACCTTTACAACAGAGACCAACTACACGACTTTCAGCACAAGGCAATTACTACCATTCTTTGCAAGAGTATCCAGTACTACGGATTCACACTACTCACCGTGACAAGCCTCACCCAACATCACAAAGCACTACTACACCGCTTTCTCAGGGAGTACGACCAACACATGTCGTGCCCTGAGATAGACGACGAGCGACTACGGGGAGCTCCAAACTACATGACAACATTTTTCACCACACACTACTACGCGACCTTGGACAACAGACTCCAGATGGTCCAAGACTATCGCGCCCAGAAATGGGGACTACATCTTTGAGCTCATGCTCCACTACAACGAGTGCCTGCCTCACTACTTCCATCCAGCGCCCTACATTGAGCTGGAACCTGAACAGCGTGAACTACTGAGCGCAGGTCACTACTTTTGCAAATACAGTAGAATTGATGAACAACAATGGTTTTCATCACTACTGTCAATCCATGTTTTGCACTTCAGTTGAAAAGGTACTACAAAGACCTTTTAACTGAGGGGCCGTGTCAAACTACATGCTTCACTTCCTGCATTTGTGTGCATGTATGTTCACTACTGCAGGCCTTGGGCTCACTACTTCGCATGAGTGAAAAGGTTGGCAGCTGCAGACTACATCGGTTGACTGTTTGTTTGAACACTACAGCACTTGCACTTGTAAGCAAAGTAACAACCGATTTTATAGAGAGAGAGAGAGAGAGAGAGAGGGGGAGTGTTGTGTGTTTATGATATCGTTCGCTTTTTCTATTTTCATACCTCCCCCAACACTGTTTGCGGCCTGTTCCCGGTGGAGTTAGATGATTTTGGAGTCGAGCTTTCTTAGTGGAAGCACATGACCCTGTCAAAATGGGGGTCGCATCAAGATGCCAAATTTGTCCAGCGAAGCCCCGTACGAATCCTTTTGCAGCTGGTAGTGGTTTCCCTTAGCATTCCAATACGTCCCCATACTGACGGATTCCTGCTATGACGAGTTAGGATTTGGGGTTTCGCTATGGGACCAACGTGTGAAAGACCACTTAAGTTAAGGAGGCAGTCAGCTGCTGGGTGCTAGTCCAGAAATTGCGCTCTGCTATACGTTGCTGCTATACTTTCCAGTTGAAGTGCTACTTGCTTCTGGCTGTTGCTTGCGCAGACAGACATGGAGGGCGATGCAAAGAGGAAGAGCGAACCACAAAGTAGATCCAAGTAGCTTGCCTCCCCAAGAAAGAGATTCGGATGTGGTTACTTGGCCAGTGATGTCACTGGGGAACACCCTCTCTAAAAGATGAGCACACACCTATGCGACCGCCAGGATCATTCAGCCCGAAGCTCTGAGGGCGTCAATTCCCTGGCAGCTTGACTTACGGTTGGATGAAAGCAGATGCCCAACTTCCCCCCCCCCGTTTGGTGCAGTTCTTCCCACAATGGGAAGTTCCCAAGAGAGTTCATGACTGCTAGTGTTGATGCTCGGTGCCCGAGGTATCCAGGCTCCTGGAAGACCCGAAGCATCTTTGCTGCCCAGTAACCCACGCTCTCATGGACGAGCCGGTCACGGCCGAAACTGGGTCAACGGTTGGGCATGTTGTTTTTTAGTGTTTTGCTTGAAGAACCCAAATCCCAAGTCCAGAATTTGGTTTGAACTCTGACCGAGGGTTGGTTGGTTGAGGAGAAAATCCGTGGTTCATGGGTCGAACCTTGAGGAAGATGGCTATTGCTACGAGCAATCGGCGATTCTGGAGGCCATCAAGGAGCGAGGGCGCAGCCCAATGACCAACAAGACCTTGAAGGAGCCAGTGCCGTTGGCTGCGGGGGGGGGGGGGGCTGCGTTGCTCTTCCCGGTTGCCAAATGCAGTTGACATCAAGCGAATTATTTGGAGATTCGCCGACATGCCTGTTCATACCGGGCGCTTATTGTTGAAAAGCCGTAGTCAGCGGTTATCAGAGATCAACCATCACAAGAAGCACGCCGGCTTCATGCAGGGTTTGGCGGGTGCTGAGGTGTTCCCAAACTACGACAAAAAGTCCGACATCGCCCACTTCAAAGAGCAAACCGTCCGGGAGATACTTGATGTGGCAAGGGCTTTGCTCCCTGAATATGCGACAGAGGTGTCAAAGCTGCTTGGCAGGGCCGAGCATTTCTTGCAGCCCCGGCTTCCAGATTGCCAGGCCGTGCGCAACTTGCAGGCGGTGCTACAGCTGCGGGTGAAGCTTCCAGAAAAGGACCGCTGCAAGGTGGTAGGGGAGTTCATCAACTTGAGTTGCAAGCACGCCAAGATGCCAGACCCTCCTCTTCAAACATTTCTGGACAGCATTGAGGAGTCGGACCTGTTGCCCTGCATCAAGAACTTCAGCACTCAAACTGTGGTTACGTTGCAAGCCTTGCCCACCTTGCAACCAGGCGCAAGGGCGTGCCAGGATTTGCTGGACAAAGAACTTCTGGGGCGTTACGCAGGAAACCTCCGTGGCAACAGCGAAGCTCTACATTCTGCAACTTTGTGGAAGTTGGTGCTTCCAAGGACTGGGGTGCGCCCCGCAAAATTTGGAATTATTTCCCTGAGTTATACTCGTTGGGAAAATTGTTTAGGCCACCAAAAGTCTGGACTTCTTGCAGCCAATCCACTCATGCTTCGATGGTTTTTGTTTCCTGGGCACCCCTCGTCTCGTGAGCAACTGTGAAGGATTCACAACCAGGAGGGCCAGTGGCTTCAGGCTGCAGGATTGCTGCTTGCAGTCTTCGGAAGCGACGCAGCCCCCGAGCTGTCATCCCTGGCAGATGCTGAGACCATTCTGAGCTCTGCTCGTGAGTTCCTTGGGGACTGCAGCAAGGCAACGACGTTTGCCCAGGAGTTCTTCCAGTCTGAATTGAGTGGATTGGGGACTCGGGATTGCAAGTGGCCACCGGCAAATTCGTCCTGGATCTTGGTGGAACTTGCTTCACGACAGGCTCGCGCCGAGGACAAACACAACCTGCTACTCGAGGCTCTTCAAATGGATGAGGCAAATACGGAGATTCGGAAAGCTCTCATCTCCTTGCTGATGCAGATGACTGATGCCGGAGAGAATGCCAAAATGCATGACTATGAAGGTTTGCATTTGCACATTCTCTTTGAGGAGGGTGTGAAGATTCCAACAGAGATGCTGGCAAGTTTGAGCCTGCAACAGGGGCAGTTGCAATTTCTGCGTCCAGAAGTGCTGCTGGAGCTGGCTGACCAGCTCTCACAAGCAAAACGAAAGGATGGCGCAGCTCGAGTTGCTGCTCTGGCTGGTGCCTTGCTTGAAGCAGAGGGCGGACACAGTCAAGCTCACCAAGCATATTTAACTGCCTGCCTCATGGACAGGCAGAATGAAGATGCTTTTCTTGGATTGGTCAAGGCAGTCAGGGCAGGGGCAGATAAGTGCCACGCCTTGGAGTCGCAAGTGGCAGCCCAACGTGAAAAGAGTGTGGCGTTGGAGGGGCAGATCCAAGAGCTGAGCGCGAAGCTTCGGGCCATACAGGCGGCTCAACAAGGTCAAGCTGCAGCCGCGCAGCAAGGTGAGGCTCGGGGTCAAGCTCCAGCCGCGCAGCAACGTGCAGCTCAGGATCAAGCTCCAGCCGCGCAGCCAGGTCAGGCTCAGGGAAAAGCTGCAGCAGCGCCGCAACGTGAGGCTGCAATCCGAAGGTGATTACGCTGGTGGTTGGTTGTTTGGCCTGCTCGTAGCCCGCGTAGACCGCATCATGTTCTTGCCGCTTGCCGGACATGGCAGCCCTTGGGTGGCCGCGGCAATGTTTTTTGACATGAACAAGCGCGAAAGAAAAGCGGAACAAACAACAAAAACAACAACAACACCTGCTTGCTTAGCTGCACGACGGTGGGCGCCTATACCCATACATCTGCACTCGGGGGATGCAAGGCGCGTTGAATCAAGATATCTTCCCGGAACTCTTTTCCTGTGCCAGTCCCTGAAATCCAGCTCTTCGTCTTCTTTTTGTTTATGCGGGCATGTTTGGACCGAATTGGAACACCTCAATTAGCAACTACTACGGCAAACATCATGTTCTATCACAGGGCACTAGGGGAGAGAATGTCCACAATCAGTTGAAGCATACAAAAGCCGCTTGAGTCCACAGAGCCTGCGCTTGGGGCGAAGCCCTATTGGCACTGCGCAGGCATTGGCCGAAATCCTGCGAAGCCAAAACGGGTCAGGAATGAAGCCGGCAAACAAAACACTCGCCAAAATGGGTACAGCCCCCGTTTCAGGTCTGTCAGCGGCAAACTTGTCCCGGGCACGCGGGAGCGCCCCCAACGCGGCGCCATGTGGAGCTGGGCCCAAGACAGCAGACGCATCCGAATGGTACGAGGTTTGCCCCTCAACTCAGTTGTTCAAAGCGGATCCACCTTTTCACCTTTTGGTTTTCCCATTTCGGCACCCATATTTCGTCACCTCGAAAGGTGATCGCCTTGTAGTTCCAGGGTCCATAGGGGCAACTGAGCCAAAGGCAACAAAGATTTACCGAGCGCACAGGCTCGGTCACCCAACACCCCTATCCTGAAAGCATCTGATTGACCTCAAGCCACAAGCATCGGCGGAGGTGTGTTTGTCGCTGAGTTGTGCGTCCAGTCGTTTGGGCCCAAGCAGAGTACATACATGCACCTTCTTAAACAGAAGGAGTTCTAAACCCATCTCTTCTTCCGGTCTAAACGATCCTTGGAGAAGATACTTTAAAATTCTACGAAGCATTGCGCTTGGCCTGTCAGGGCTGTGGCGCCGTGCCTGGCGTTTGCTGAAGCACTGTGATCTGGCCGGCTGCAACAGCGCCCTGAACCGCCTTGAGAGCCCGCAGTGGCGAGAAGGCGATTGGGATGGTGCAAGTAGAGATTGACCGTCCTCACGGCTTCGTTTTTGGAAGGATCAAACTATCGAAGATTTCAGTTCCAAGGGGTTATTGGATAGAGTTCCCCAGTTGATTTCGGTGTGGTTCTCTCTTTTAATGCCCGCGCACCCTATGCTTTTAGCACATCACTGAAGAATTTGAATCTTGAGCCTCGTCAGGCCTTCCACCCTTGAGGGCTCTCAGAATTGCTCAGAATTGCCTTTGGCTGTGGTTTCCCCAAGCCAACATTTGGAAGCACATTTTGAGGATGTAATTAGTTGTACAGGACTCAGTTCAACCTCGAACGTTCCCTTTGAAACCTACCGACGAAAGCAGGTGATTCTTTCCCCTGTATTTCAAGGTTCGTCCGAAAACGATGCGCTCTCTTGGCCCGATTTTTTGTTCAGGTGCCCTTGACACCCCAGTGGGATCCAATGCACGTGGACTAACGAACTACTAGCTTTCCAACTACTTCCATTTGCTGGAACGAATATATATATATATATATGTATATATATATATGTATATTACTATTTTGTTTAATACTGCTCTCTTGGTTCTTGAGGGAATTCAAAATATGTTCTCTTTTTTGCAGGGGGCTTAGGCAAATGGAGCCCTATGTCTTGATCATTGTTTAGCTTCATGCGGCTTTTCCACTACAAATCCACCAGCCTGGGAGGAATGAGAAGACATTCATAAGGCCTAGTGGATGCATTTGTGCATACAAGCACTGCTGGAGGCAGGAAGGGTCTCTAAGCCCAGAAGTGCACCCATGCGTTGGACAAGGGCGCCCAACACATCAACGATGTGCGTACTCATCAACTAAGACCACGCAACGAATGGTTAGCCCACCTGCTTACTAAGCACCCGCCATAGGAGGCGTAGAGGCGTACAGAGTTTTGGAGGGACAGAGCAAAGCCCAGATGATAATGGAGGTTTAGAGGAGTACGAGCTCAGCAGGATGCTCTCAGGAGTATGTAGCACAGAACATCAGTGGCTATGAAACCCAAAGCAATTTTCCCTAGGGGGATTTCCCTTTAAAACCACAAAAAGAAGGGGGACCCTCAAACAAAGACACACCCAATAGGCAGATTTGATCACTCCTCTGGAAGCCTCCCGGTTTCGTCGTGCAAAAAAGAATCCGGGAGGTTTGGGTCTTTTGGCCGGGCTGGGCTCGGCGGCGCTGCGGAGAAGCGCCATCAGTGCCTGGACCGCGGTCGCGGTTTCGCGTGTTCCGCGCCCAAGCTTCCGATACCCACGTTTTTTTTGCAGGGCTCCTTAAAAGATACATGTTGCCCATTTGAAACATGGCTTTTTCCACCAAAATAAAGGGAAACCACCATTTACAAGGCAATGTTCAGGTGTATGATGTAAGGATCCCTGTTTTGACAGAAAAAACGGACGCACTTTAGGGCATCCCTTCCGGGAAAGGAACAAGAGTACCAGCACCTGGGTACCAACTTGCAACTGTCCAACATCCCCTTGGTACAATAACAAAGAAGCAGTGGGTACCGGGTGCGATTCAGGCCCAATCGAATGGTCGTATCTCAAGATGCTTGAGCTGATCTTTCAAGGTCCAGCATGGTGCCGGCATAAAATAGGCGCAATGTGCACGAAGGGTTTCCCGCCCATCCCCTGTTCAGACCCGCAGCGCTGCTCGAGCATCTAAAAGATATTCAAACAACAAGGGAGAAATTCAGTGAAGTGTCCTTTGCATCCCCTTACCCGGCACGTGGGTTTCGGAGGCATGTTTGCATGTGCCAGGCTTCAACAGCGCAGCCCGGGTATGCGCGAAAGACATGTGGCAGCTGTCGCTGCTACTCGGCCGATCGCCCCGCGATCTTGTGAGCTGTAATAGCGCCTCAACTTGCACAAGGCGCCGTGTGTTCTGGCTTCAGCAGTTTCATTCTGCATGATTTATGGCGAGCTCACCTGGAAAGAAAACGAGCATGGTAAAGATCCTTTGCTTGGAGATCCAACTCTTGTTTCAGCTTTTGGACATATTGTAAGAAACAGGGGTACTTTTTCCGGTTTCTCGTTTCGGGGGGGTGACTGTTGCACGGAGGTGACCCGAGGAGCTTGGTGCTGACGTTTTGAGAAGCGCGTATGTTCTCAGGGGATGCAACATAGGTCCTGTCATTTCATTTCACTTTTCAATTGTCTGCTGTTTCGGGTTCCCCCACAACCAATATGTGCCTAGGGTTTTTGGTTCATAGGCCGGCCTTCTGGTTTGCCCCCAAATGGAATTGGGCAACAGGGTTTGCCCCTTGCCACGTCTGGCTTGTCATTCCCCGCTTCTGATCAGAGCTGGGCAACCCCATGGCCATAGCTTGCGCGAGGTTCACTCACGGCCTGCGAGGCCAATGCCCAGTGGCCTTTGGCCCTGCAGTTGCTTCAGCGGGCACGGAGTGACCGGCTCCTCACTTCCCAAGTTGGAAGACGCTTTCGGGGGCAATGGGGAAATTGGTGGGGCGACAGCCAGTAGCCAATGATTTCTTAGTGCCATGTTTGTTGTTTTGTTGTTTGTTTGTTTTTGCAGCGAGGGAGCGGAGTTGTTTTGGAGTTGCCGTCTTTCTGAACATTTTAAGACTAGCCCATGCTTCAGGCGTAGCTTTCCGTTTCAAATGTTTGCCTCGAATTGTCCTATGCAAGCACAGGAGCTCGGAAGTATTTGGCCTCGTTGCCTCCCATCCCGATCCCCTATTTTCAGGTGACCTGCAGAGGCGGCAGACTGAAGGAGCGGGTGTGTTAACCCTACGTGGGAGTGCTATTTTCATTATTCTTTTGGTGGGAACGCATTTCTTTGTGCAGGACACCATTCTTTTGGCTTTTGAGGGAGACGAACCCAAACTCAAAAACGACCTTCCCTTTTCAAGTGGACACCCACCGGTTTCCTTCAAGAGAATCCCTGGGTTCATTCCCAAACCCTGAGTCATTCCCTACTACGCACCAGCAAGTTGATTGGTGAGTTTGGTACGAAATAGATGGGTTCCACAGGTTTAGATTGGTTTTTGTGCGATCCACGTACCAAAACCGGTCTCGTTCGGCCCGCGGCTCGCCACGAGGCTCCAGGTGGACCTGGTGACCCAAGCCACGAGCATCGGCGCCCTCCGCGAGTCTCAGCGCTGGAACTGGGCGCTGCAACTCCTCGCGGCGCCGGCCCCGGACGGGCTCTCGGCCGGCTCCGACGGCGAGAAACGCAGACCCGCTCGAGGGGTGGGCTGGGGGGGGGCTTAGGCGGGTTCTTCGGTTTGTTAAGTTTAAGGGGGGGGGTGTTCAAGGGGGGGGGCTCCTTTAGCCCGGGTTCCACGTGCTTTGGGGAAATCGTTTCGCTGTTTGTTCATCTTCGTACAAGGGAGGAGGACAAACAACGGTTCGATGCTTTTCGGGGGGAAGTCGTCGGTTGTCGGCCCTCCGACTTTTTAGCCCGGGCTCCGATGTGTTTTTGGGGAGGTCGACGTGTTTTGGGGAAATCGGCGTTTGTTCATCTTCACACAAGAAGGGAGGGGGAGGGTATGTTTTTGATCTCCATTTTTCCATTTGCTGGAATGATGTTTTATTATTTTCCCCGGTGGTTTCAAAACGGGAGTAGCAGATATAAGCAAATGGAGGGGAAGCGATTCAGTTCGGCAAGGTTCCTGCGGCTTTCCAAGCCATGTTTGGTGCCAAGTACGGGGCCTGGAAAAGCACGTGGCACATGTCTCTCCCTTTCGGTGTGCTGAGTTACTTTGACCCTTGATCTCTCCAAAACCCTCCTCAAAGGGTACTTGGGCCCCTTGGGTTTCAGGAGCATTGAACAATGATGAGCTATTTAGCGCCCGGGATGGAAAAAAATCCATACATATCCTTATTTGTTTCCCGGTTCTGCCCCTCTCGATGTCTGATGGCTTGGGGGGAAACACTTGAAGCTCACTTCACGTTTGCCAACTAAAAAAGGTTAGCTCGCGTAAGCTCGCGTTTTTTGTTGGGCTTAAAAAAGAAACATGCGCTGCCAGGGGTCTGAAAAGTTAGGCAACAGCCCATTGGCTAGTTGCCGTTGGGATTTGGGCTCCAAATAGATTGATGATAGTTTGAGGGGTTCTTAAATTTGCGTTGGGTAGTGTCCCTTTAAGCCACCATTTAGAGTCTATGGATTAGAAGGTCACGGATCCGGAAGGCAAACCCAAGCATACCTTCAGTTTTTGTCTATAGTTTGCGGAAAAAATGTCACTGTTTTTCTTCCCAAAGAGTTCGTGCTCGTCCATGGCGAGGATTACAGAGAGCTCACCCAAACTGCCCATGAGGGCCCCACGTGAAAGTTCCTTATTTCAATTTGAAGTTCAATCATTTGCGCAGATGCTCATCGCTTCCATGTTCCCAACTTCCAGGCCCGAAGGGGAAAATGGAGCATAGCAAACCAGGATGTTTCTCAGTGGGTTCCATGTTTTTATAGTTTGTTTGGTGGGCTCTTACTTGGCATGGAACCGACAACAACAAAGGTTACCCTTGATTGTCATGTGTTATCCCTGTTGGTTATTCTTGTGTTGGTGATGTCTTGCCATCCGAACGGATTTGCAAGTGTGCGGTTCCTTGCTTTGGGTGCTTGTTTGTCTTATGTTGCAAACGTTGTTTGTTCGGCACGGCAATCATGTTCCATGATACGGCCAAGGTGGACTTAACACCCAGCATGTCCAATCCCTTCACCCTTGGGATTTGTGGCAACCCCAGGGTGCCACTGCGGAAGAGTTAGACCTGAGCTCCTCGTTGGTCGGTTGAGCTCACGTCCGAGTAAACCGTGCCCAACCTACCAAGGTCTAGAGTGAGGGGCGGAATGAGTGTGTGTTTGTGTGCGCCTTTTCTTGAGTATATGATACCTTTTTTGGTTGCCGGTTCAAAGGGAACCATGGTTACTGCAATATCCGGAAGTAAATTCATGCTCATCATCCATGGTGGTTAAGCGATAGATTTACTAGAACTCTTCCTCCCACTGGCATGGCGCCTGTGGGGAGGCACCTGGAAGATCAGAACTCGGAGGGGCCCCACGTCCGGCGCCGTGTTAATCCCTTGCCCCCCCCCCCCCCCCGGCGAATAATAAATCAGGTCTGGGGAACGAAACATATTTCTCAATAGGGTACACCGGGTCGACCGGAGTTTCCTCTTCGGTCCTCGTCCAAATGGGGCAGCCGGCCCCTTTCCCGGACACGAAAAACGTAAAAAGCCGCAATCTTCCGAGTGACGAATTTAGCCAAAACCGTTCGAAATTGTGTTTTTCGTTTTTGCGGTTCAAAAGTAAAGGGCGGAGTTACAATTGAAGAAATGAATGTAAATTAGTAAAGGGTAGATATGAACTTATAACTATAAAGCAATGTGCTACAACAAGCTAATAAAGGCTGGGCCTGGTCTGGGCGGAGACATCCGATAGTTTTGTATTGGTTTTGATTGGCCTACTCTAAAAGTAGAATTGGGGACCTGGCTGTCTGGGCAAGTTTTGGAAAATTGAAAAGGATTAGCGGGAGAGAGGGCAATTGGTGGCTCCCAGCCATCCCCTAGTTGTTTTTAGTGTTTAGCGGTAGTTTCCATTTAACCCACTAAAAGTTAGTCGCTTTTCGCGGGGGATCTGAGCCCTTCCCCTTTCCCCCCTTCCCCCACCCCCCACCCCCCAACCCCGAGGGCAAACGGTACCTAAAAGAAGCCCTCCATTTGTTTTGCGGCCAGGACGGCATCAGCTGCAACAGCGCCATCCGCACCTCCCCCTGGCCAGTGGCCCGCCTTCTCCTGCTGGGCTTGCGTCCACGCGCGCTGCAGCTGGACGCACAATCCTTCAACGCGGCCATGGCGGAAGATGTGGCCTGGCTCCATTCGAGTAGTGACGATCGCAATTTTGGTGTGTTTTTTTTTATTTATTTATTTATTTCCTTTGAAAATATCCCAAGTCACAGAGAGAGAGAGAGAGAGAGAGAGAGAGAGACAGAGACACACACACACACATATATATATATACACACACACACAAGTTCAGGTTACTTCGAGCTAAGCCTCACCTTAAGCCACACCCTAAAGCTACCCTAAATCTGGGTCCACTAGAGCGTTCACTTTTCGAAATGTTCCCAAATATACTTTTGGGTCCATTGATGCAGAAAGTGTTTGTTCATTTGCTTGGACCCACCACGTTGGTCGTAAGTACTTTGCGGGTTGTTTCCCTCAAGCAAACATGTCACTTCCATTTGTGCAGAAAGTGTTTGTTCATTTGCTTGAACCCATGTTGGCATGGGTACTTTGGCGCATTTTGCTTGGATGTTAGGACTTTTAACTTTTTGCCAACTCATGGGTTTTCCATTAAGCCGCTAAAAGAAAGACTTTTAGCAGAGGAGCAGAAAGCTACTTTGCGGGGCGCCCCGAAGCGGGCACATCTCCGCACGCATTCTGGGTGTCAAATCCCAGGAGTCCTGGGCCCGAGCCTTGGAGTTGCTCTCCGCGGCACGGGTTTCTCCCAGCGCCGTCAGCTACAACACCGCCATCTCCAGCTGCGCGCAGGCGAAGGCTAGCAGCGCTGCCCTGAGGCCGCTGGGGAGAAAAAACGGTCCGAGGCCTAGCCGCGTTTGTTTAAGCGAGGCCGCGTTTTGTTTGTTGTTGTTGTGTGTTTGTTGTTGTTTTGTTGCGGGTTTTAACTATGAAGGGTTTTGGATCCTCTTGTTTTATGGCTGGCCCTTGCGAAACGAAGAAATCCTGGTTCCCAGCCATCCTTTAGGTTTTTGCTGTTTAGCGCGGGTTCCTAGCAGGAAAGCTGAGGACAGCTGCAAGCAACCCTGAGGCTGTTGTCGCAGATGTCCAAGTTCTTCCGTCTGGATGCTTTCAGCTTCAGCAGCGCGCTCAGCGCCTGCAGCTGGCACACTGCCTTGGACCTCGCTACATTGGCTTAACTCACCTTCTGCGCTTTTCGGATTTGCTTCGTTTTGTTTTTTGTCTCGCCTTTGCCTGTGAAGCATCAAAAATCTGTTTTGCCACTTTGAGGTGGCTTCGACCGCCACGTTTTTTCGGCCCAGGTTGGGCGCATGGCGTCGCTTCTGGTGCCGTGCAACGCGGTGACACGCCTGGCTCTGGTGGCCGCCTGCGCCGGCCGCTGGCGCGAAGCCGCCGGCGTTGCGGCGAGGGAAGGCCCCGCCTGGAGCGGCGCCGTGGGCGTCACGGAGAAGTGCGGCCAGGCGCCGCTTGAGCCACGGGCTCAAAGCCGATTCGGGCAGATGAAGGTTAGTAAGGGACAATCCCAGCCAGAAGCAGCTGCGGCCGCCTTTTTATTGCCTTACATGCTTCCGGGTCAACCATTTCCATACCGGGTTTGATTGACTTGCTTGGGGTTTTTGTTGCAGGAAATGAGAGGGTGTTGGACATGAACCCAGTGATCCCCTTAAAGGAAACCACCAATTGGATGGTCTTTAGGGACATGATCAGATCTGCTTTGACTTGCCCAAAGCCGACCTGTTCTCACCTCTTGGTTTCCCTTCTTGGTCCGTTTAGTTAGTTATGGCCCCCAAAGGTTGAACCGTTGGTCCATTTTCGTTTGGCTTGCTGGTGCGATAGCTAGGAAATGACAGGGCCATCGCCTTTGGCCCACTTCCTTTGCAGAGCTACTGGCTGACAGTTTTGCATGGTGGAATAGTGTGGTGCTGGAAATGAACCAGAAGGCGATACCCTTAAAGGAACCATCGGGGATCAGTTTTTCTCGTTAGAAGTGTTGGTGAATATCTCACTTGAGTTCTTCCTGGACTTACAAATGAAATTGTACAGAGCCGGGGAGGGGCTGGCTGGTTTTAGTTGAGGAGGTGTGTCTGAATGGTGTCAACGAAAAGTCCAGACTGTTCCTGGCCAACTGGCTCACAAGCCGGAGCAGCCCCAACGGGGACCTCCAAAAGCGAGATCAGTTCCTCTTCTTGCTGAAATGAACATGCTTTTATTTTTCCCTGTTGATCTTAAAGGGGAACTGCCACTATTTGAGATATCATTTTCCCAGAGACCTTAAGCAAATGGAGGTCGTTGCTTGGGGAACCACCCGTGAGTACGGTGGCAGTTAATCCGAGTCCCAGGTTCCGAGAAATGGCCAATTTGGGTCTGACGTTCGAAGATTAGGGGGCCAACGTTTCCGACACGCCGACCAATGTCGCCAGATCTCGTGGGTCACCATCTTACCCCATCAAACCGTGAAAAACAAGCCGGGGACCAACGAGGTCCCCAGGCTTGACATGTTCCCATATCATTCACGCTGCCTCCTTCCCATGTTCAGTTTTGTTCTTGCAGCCATAAATGTGAGAGAATGCGGACGTGTAGCACACTTTCTGCTTTGGTTCCCAAATAGGATTGGCGGAGGGTGGATGTCGACCCCTGGCATTCCATTTGTGCTTGCATGTTGTCCATTTTGGGGTATGGAATTTGGGGACCCCCACCCCCTTCCCCCTCAATAACTTAAGGTAGGGGGGATGTTTTGGTCCATGTTTGTTTTTTGGGAAGCGGTGAGTTACCCGCAGTAGTGCCCTTTTACCATCTTTTTGGGGGAGGGTTCCCCTACTAAAATAGACGTCCAGAAAAAAAGTTGGTACCCTAACCTCTAACCTCTCCTCGGGTGTGTTTGGGGGTGGCGTGTTTCTGTGGCGAGGTGTGTGGCAGCTGGACACTGCCCCTGACATGGGGAGGAAACACCAGACGCAGGCGGGCGGGCATGGGGGACAGACCGCTGGTCCATGCTTGTTCTGCTACCCTGGAGGAACGAAATCCATTTCGCACCACCTAAGAAACCCTGGAATGATAATTCTCCTGTACTACCACGAAAAATGGCTTGCCATGGTTTCAAAGTGGTGCAGGATTTTGTCCATCCACAGTATGTCTAATGAGACGAGACTCGCAGGTTCAAGAGAAATCGTTTATCCTTCCAGCTGGTAGTTTCCGTAGTGAATTGCAGGGGGTTGTGCCTGCCATCTTTGGGAATGATCCTAAATCATTCCGCCTGGCTTCACCTCTAAATCCCTTTTTGCTTGGGTCTCTCACCACTAAAAATGGATTCAACCAACCACAAAGTGGGTTCAGTGCGTTCTTTCAGATCGGTGACTGCCACTCGGACGAACTCAAGCAGGAAGCTTTGCAGGCATTGAGTCTTTGGACTTCCCGTCGGCCTTCCGGACAGTCGAGGAGAACAAGGGCTGAGAACAAGGCTCGGGTTTCGTGCTGCGGTCCAACACAACAGGCGATGGCTTTGGCGATGCATCTTGTGTTTTCCTTGGCTTTCCAATGCGAATGGACCAGTCAAGGTCCCACCAGCTTAACCCACGGCTTAACCTGTTGTTTCCGGGTCCTTTGGGCAGGGCGTCTGCAGAAGTCATTGGCGCTTGAACTCAGCTGGGGCTAGCTGCAGTTGACCTCACAAAGCTGACTGATGCAAAACAAAGAGAACGCGACTGACATTGATGTTTGGCACACTGTGAGGCCCGCGCGACTTCCCTGAAAAGAACCATCTTCTGAGATATATTTGAGAACATCAAGGCAGATGCAGACCTCGGCGCCGCAGATATCTATCACCATGAGCGCCCAGGGGCACCTTGAGCCAGGCGCGCAAGCGCGCGCACCCTGCGCTGCCTCGTGGTGCCCGACGGAATCCGCGGATCCGAGCAGCGCAGTCAGCGACAGCCATGGTCGAGGTGTCCTTTTTGGGGAATGAACTCGAAGTCCACTGCGCCAAGCGGTTGGCTCTGAAAGGCTCAAGCCAGAGCCGAACGCTCTCTGTACAAAGGCAGGATACCTTCAAAAGAAAAAGACTGCCCTGTGTTGGGCGGCCTGTTGAGTTGACCAGCCTGCGCTTGCAGGCTGCGAGGAGCTTGGGGGGGTACGATCACTCGCCAGCCTACCTGACTCTCCCCAATTTGACTTGGGGCTCTCCAAGGTTGGATGTCCAAGACCTAAGCAAAGCTTGGCACTTCCCATTTGCTGAGATCAACATGCTATTCTTGTCCCTTGTTGGTTTTAAAGGGAATCTAGCACTACTGGACATATGTGTGTGAGATGAACATGCTGTTATTGCCCCTTGTTGGTTACGGAAGTCCAACAATACTGGAAATATTTTTGTTTTCTCCCGGGGGCGCAGACGCAACTGGAACTTCCCGAAAAACGCGTCCGAGGCAAAGCGGCAGAGACCGAGAGCGAGGAGGAGGAGGAGCCCGAGGAAAAGCCGAAGGAAGCTGAGCCGGAGGCCGGGAGCCCAAGGAGGTGATGACAACTCTTTGGTTGAAACCATTGTTTGTCGGTTGTTTACAGGGGAATCGAGTCATTCCAGAGTTTCACAGGTGGTGCAAAGTGGATGTCGCAACCATCCACGGTATGTTAGTGCGAGGGAGGGTAACCTTTTCTTTGGTGCATTTTGCCAAGCGACGTTAGGACTTTAACTGTTTGCCAACTAATGGGCTTTCCGTATCAAGCCACTAAAAGTTAAACTTTTAGCAGGGGAGCAGATTTCGCAACCGAGACAAGCTCACGTTGTTCTTGCAAAAGCCAGAAACCCAAGATGCTCTGCTTGGGGGGGGTCCTCATTTCCAAGTTGGGCCAGAAGAGCTGGACTGCATGTGATACCCTATGGCAACTCAGTTTGGGGAGCAACTCAAAAGTGGTTAGCGCTGGCATCAATTCCACGTATTTATATATACATATATATATATATATATATTGTATTTAAATATATACTCAAAATGTCCGTGAAAGGGTGCCCAAATGTTAATGGGGTCAATCCCCGCACCCACACGGTACCCTGCCGGCCCGCTAGGAACCAGAAGAAGAGGACCCAAAGGCGGACGACTTTGAGGAGGACGTGCCAGAGGCGAGTCAGATTGGTCGATCCATCTGGCGCCTTCCTTACAGGGGCATTGTACTGGGGTAGACTTTGGATACATTTTACATACCAGTGACTCAAAGTAGAGCAAACGGCAAAAAATACATTCTATAACTGGAGCTAGCTCTAATCATGCTTTGGGTAGCCAGCCTTGGTATCACCCACTTGTGAGACGTATAGCCATGGTAAGTGGGTTACCAGGCTTACTAATTAGGTATAGTGCCCCATTCGGTTCCCCCTTTGCAAGCGCGCGAAACCCGATTCGCACTAGACCACCCACTAGCCAAGTCTTGCGAAGCAGATTTTGTCCATCCACTGTAAAGGGTCAGGACGGTGAGTTTGAGTTTGGAGGCAGGGTGCTTTGGCCGGCCAACTGGGCACACCCCCACGTTTCAGATGCTTTCAAAGGCAAAGTAAGAGAACAAACACACAATATATTTTCTGAGTGCATGAAGGGTGCGGTGTAGAGGGTGGAACCTAGGGTTACCTGGACTAAAAACCTGCTCTTGGGATGGATGAGACGAACCCACAAGCTCCCAACGCAGCCAGGAGGGGACCAGCAACGGAGAGGAGCCGCCAGGGTGGATGCTGACCATGTCTAGGCAAATTGACGTAGCGAAAAAGGGGGTAGCCAAAAGTAGATGCATTTGAAGCATGTTGATTCTGTAGGTTCCAGTTCAAGCTGCAGCGCTGCAGGGGTGCTTCGCAGGGATCCAACCTGATAAGTGGATTGTGACGGGGCAATATCACAGGGTGCGTCCTCGAATGGCCCCCCCCCCCCCGCATGCACGGTGTAGGCAACGAAGGCCAACCGTTACCAAGCGTGGAACTACGTTTTACTTGAGGGATAGGTAGCCCCTGATTAGGTTCCATGGGTGGGATGACGCACCTCCAGCTGTTCAAATTTTGACAATAGAGGATAGAGGTAAGGGAGAAGCGTGTACTACTTTGAGGGGTTTAGGCTCACACATATTTTGAGACAAACCCATTGTTGGAAAGCCCTAAATGTGTCATTCGCATCTTATTTGGTTTGGGGTTATCTATTGTACCACAAAACAACGGAAATCAGCAAATGAGACGTTTCCATGCGCCAGTTATTCCAAGGGTTGATTCCCCATTCTTTTCGACCGTCCTGTCCAGAAAACCATGTATTCCGGGCTTAGGTTGGCATCAATTGAAAGGGAAGAATTTCTGAACAGAATGGCGTTCTTTCCAAAGGTCTGATGCTCACTTCCCGAGTTTCTGGACTTCAAGCTTTTGTTTCAAGGCGATTTTCGTGGCAAACCCAAAGTTTGGGCTTGTGTTTGGGCACCCGTTCTTTTTTTGACCCGAACATATGGTACCTGGTGGTTCGGTTTCGCCAGGACGGCGACGTGGCCTCCCTGCTGGCCAAGTGTGCGAAGGCGGCGGAGGAGGCATCGCGGTACGCGCCTGGGCAAGCAACAGCGGAGCCTTCATCCCGATTCGGGTAAGTGACTCAGTTGTCCAAAGCGAATCGACCTTTTGACCTTTTGGTTCTCCTAGTTTGGTCTATTTTTAGTAAAGGTCCCAAAAGTTAACCTTTCATTTCTGGGTGCTTTGGGCAACTGAAGGTTACTTAGATGGCCTGGGACTTAGCTAAATTTAATGGCTGGCAACCCTGGTTACAGGGGACTTACAACCATTGTAAGTGGGTTACAACCAGGGTTAGTAGCCATCTAGCCAACTCCCAGACCATCCAAGTAGCTCACTGTGGATCAAGTTGTCTGATTTTGTGTTTGTTTTGATCCTGTCATTAATAGGGGACTGCAGAAAAGGACGGTAAGTGTTTTTGCTACCATATTCAGGGTTGTGAAGGTTGACAAGGGACAATACCCTTGCTATGAATGGGTGCGGAATGGTGCGGAATTCCGCATTTTTAGTTCTTGAAGCATGGTTTTGGGTAGACCATTCTAAGACCAGGTGTTGAAAATGACTGAGCTCAGGACTGCTGCTCCCTAGGCTTCCCTTTCTGGCCAAGGTTTGGTACAAATGACTTGGTGCCATCTCAAGCCTTCTCGTCAGTCGTTCAAAGCTGACCTTGGCCGACCTTCTTGGCTTCCCTTCTCAGGTCCAAGGTCCCAAAAGCGAGTCTAGCTTTGCCCTTCCTAAATTGATGATAGCTCCGGGGCTCCCTGTAAATGGACCATAAAAAGACTTCAGGCGCAAGATGGTGGTCTATCTCAGTATTCATAGGGCTTCATCCATCCCAACTGGCACCGGGCGTACAACAGAGGTGTTGGAATTGTCAACCTCTCTTTCCTCCCAGTTAACATCACACATTTGCCAATTTAAGAATCTGATTTATGTTGAATCGCCCCCTGCCTTTTCGGATGGTTGTGACATCAGCCTTCTGTGGCCATCCGTTTGCCTGCATCATTCATCGCTGTTGAACCGTTGGGGGTCTTTTGCTGAGAGAATGGTACTGGAACTGTTTCGAGTGCTCCAATGCCTTCCCAGGGAATGTGCTACGCTTCTCAGTCATGACCGCGCAGCACGAAGCCTTTTCATCGAGTGGGCAGGTGGAACCTCCAAGAGCATTTGTTTGAGGCAGATTGGCACTTTTGGGCTCACAGACTTGCATCACACGCATGACGTATCAATTGCTAGTGGTTCACCCCGGCCTGCCCCCAGCATTGCGCCCATTGCCACTGTCCATCCCACGAGTTGTTGCTGTTTTTCGTTTGCAGGGTTCTCGGGTTCTCATGTTTCTGTCGCCGTTGGTCTTGTCAACCAGAAACATGTGGTAGACATGGTAAGTTACAGCGCGCCATCCAACTCAGTACTCTTTGCCGACCATTCCACTTACATTTGCTTAAGAATATGTGTTATGTTCCCCCTGTTGGCTTTTTAAGGCAACCTATCACTACTTCCGGGATTTTTTTGTTTTTATATTGTTGTTGCTTTACTTCTGAATGTTTGTCCAGCGACTTTTCTGGCTCAAGTACTTTTGTCCAGGGGACTTGGGCCTCGCCCCACGCCCACGCTCCGCTCCGAGCTCCGAGGCCAAGACGGCGGCGGACTTCGCGCACCAGGCGGCGGAGGCGGCGGAGACGGCGCGCCAGGGCCGCGAGGCCAACGAGTCCAACGTGGCGCCTTGGATTTGATTCTCAGACAGATGCATTGACATAGCTCCACTGGTTTAGACGTGTGTTGTAAGCCATTTGCCAGCATGCGAAACGCACATGGAAGATGAACCAAAAGTTAACTGCTATTGGGTTGGATCTTAAGAAGATGAGCCAAGAGTTAACTGCTATTGGGTTGGATCTTTAGACTTTCACTTTTTGATGGACATCTTTGGGTTTTTTTCATACTAAACCCCCAAAAAGTGAAAAACTTTTTGCAGAGGGGTCAGCAGCAACCAAGGCGCTCACCAAGTCCATCGCCCACTCGGCCATCGCGCCTTGCCGATCGAATGGCTGTGGTTGTCAAAGCCGTTTTGGGATCCCATTTTGTGGGTTGGTGAATTCACCGCCCATTTTAGAACCTATTTTGGTGGGGATTGGGATGTTCACTGGGGGTACGGGATTTTGACCCATGGCCAAACGGGAAAGCGACTGTTGAGAAATTATCAGTTGCCATCTAAGTACTTCATGGCGGTTTGGTGACGGCTCTTTGGGAATTTCCGAAGTGGACACAAAATGAAACCTTTTGCAGGGGTCACTACAGCAACCAAGAGTGCCTTCACGGTTCTTGACATGGTTTTGACTTCCTCCTCTTTTGCTGTTTCTGTTCAATTTCAGTGTGGCGGTCTGCAAAGAACATTTTTGCTACCACAACAAGGGGGTTCAAAACTTCAGCCGTATTGCTTTGTAAAAGTAGAAATCCAATCAACTCAGTTTGGGTTAAGACATTTTTTGATGCAGGGAACTGTGCCATCTACTTGCACCCGCTGTAAAAGGTGCAATCCTGTTCGGCTCACTGACGGTCCATGGCAGGGGCTTGTTTGGGCGCCTGTTTTCCTGACCTGTTTTCTTGGAAGCCAGTGGGACCCCCCCCCCCCCCGGTACCTCATTGGGAATGAAGAAGCATGTAGGTCTCATGGATTTCTTCCAAGCTTGTCCCGCAAATGATGGCCAAACGGACCGCCCTGTTTCCACACAGTCCATATCCCATTTCAGCAACAGTCAACAGGGCATTGCCTGTGGCACACTCACCCAACTCACCCAAGCACTACGAGGAAAATAGGGCTACTGGCCAAATCCAATGTCAACATAACAGTAGTGTGCAAGGGGAATTAAGAACCCTGCAAGGGGAATTAAGAACCCTGCGAGGGACGAGCCCTGACAAATCCTGCGCAGCCCTGACAAATCCTCCACCACCCGAAAAAACAATGGCTTCAACCATGGTTTCAAAGTGGTGCGAACGGATTTCGTCCGTCCAAGGTATGTCCTTTAAACCCACATCTGTTTGACCGACCGATCGCCTCAATTCTTGCGCCGAGGTCCTCACTCTGACGGTGGTAAAGGCCGTCCGGGTGGTGGGCTACGCCACCATGGACGTGGCCGCGCAGTGCCGCATCGCGGCCAGGCCGGGGAACGGTGAGGGGGGTCGCTTGGGTGTGGAAGAGTTCAGATGTTTACCAACGGTGATCACCGGAAAATAGTGGGTGTATCTATGTCACACCTTACATTGAAATCTGGGGCAGGGGCGTGACCCGGGAAGTACATGTTCGCTCGTCTTGCAGCACTTTAGCTCAATGAATGCAACACGGGGGTTCTACACCTGTCCACGTTGCCGTGGAACCCACCAGAGAAATGGTCCCTTTCAAAGGAAAATCGTCCAAATCCGGACCGCGAAGCCTCCGGTTCCATGTTAGTGGACCTCAAAGGGAGGTTACCCATCGCGAAAGGCCGGCAACAGGCACGCGCAAGGTCTGCAAAGATGTGACTGATCGGCAAAATATGGACCACGAATACGTGATGTGCTTCTGGTTTTCTTGATGTTGAGGAATTGCATCGACGAAATCCGAGCTTCACCCACGAAACCCTTTCGAAAGGAGAAGAAAAGGAACATGAAAGGGCGAAAATCAAGCCCTTCGACCAAAGTGACGCTTCCAGGAGCGAAGGAGTCGCTCAACTTCTGATTTCTTTGGCCCCGCGAAGGGAGCCAGATAGATCTGCCTACTTTATAGCGAGCGATCCGGGGGTACAACCGGTACGAGCTCATGAGAACGGCCCTTTGCTTCGGCATCCCTTTCAGCTTCACAGTAAAATGTGCAGACACATGTTTGCCTTGTACTTCTAAAAGTGAGGAAAGAAAGAACGATGTGCATCCTTGGTCTTGGGATGTTTTGGGTAGAGCATTGGCCTTTTTTTCCACGGTTCCCCTTCATTACTTGTTCAGGATTCAATTAGTCATTTTAGAGGGGTCACGGCCTTGATTCATGTCAGCTTCCTTCTGGTTTGTTTGGCGTTTTGGCGGGTGGCTTCTCAAGTGCCATCAAGGACTAGGGCCCAACCCAAACCAACCCCAGCCAACCAAAAAAAAACCCAACCCAAACCAACCCAACCCAACCCAACAAAAAGCCAACCCAAAAGGCCAACCCAAAAAACCAACCCAACCCAGCCCAAACCAGATTCCAGGCCCTCCACTCGACTTCAGAACGCCTTTTGGGCCAAAAAATCCGCAGGAAGTTCACGCAGACGGACTGCGCGGAGAGCTCCACCGAGGCCATGGGCCTGGGCCTGGAGGCCCTCAACGCCGCCCTGGCCTGCGCCGAGGCTCCCGAATGGCTCCCGAATGAGCCCGAATGGATCAGACCAGTAAACTGATCCACTTTGGGATTTGGGAATTTTTAAGTAAATTGATGAACCATGGGATTTTGGAAATGTTCGGTAGTATAGATGAACCAGAGTGAAATCGACTTTGGGCTTGGAAATCCCGGTAAATGGATGAAACAGAGTGAAATCAACTTTGAGAGTTTGATTTTTTATATATATTTTAGTACATGGATGAACCTGAGTGAAATCGACTTTGGGATTTTGGAAATGTAAGTAAACTGATGAAACAGAGTGAACTGCAACGTGAAGCTTTACTCACAAGAGGAAAATTCTTGAGTTTCGGAAAATGGAGAATCCAGTGACCCCCGGAATTCCCTTCAAGCCCATCCACGAAACTCTGTGGCTGTTTGGGAACAGATCTTTGGACCTTAACTTTTGGGTTGAAACTTTGTGGGAGGTTCCGAATTGGAGCACTGACAGTTGACAAGTTTTTTGCGGAGGGGTCGACAGGAACCAAGGGTAGAAGCGGTTCCCCACCATTTAAAGTCTCACGCATGACACCACTGACTGGGACCCAAGGGGCCAACTACGAAACGGCAACTGGGACACCAAGAGAGGAGGACCCTTTGTGCATCTCAAGATCGCAAGCCGTTCAACTGCGGATTCTGGACCAATCACGATGACAGCAAGCATTTTTATGGAATGCCACCTCACACCGGTTGCATTGAGATCCGCACTTCTTGAATTCTGACCAGCCCCGAGCTTTGCCAGACTCATTTCACCCTTTGCCCTTTGAGGCTTCCTGCATTCCTCCTTTCCTTTTTGTGCAGGTCCACTTGCTTGGCCCAGTTTGTTTTTACCGACAGCCCTACGGACCCCCAGCAACCTCGACCTCTCCCTCTCGTACTCAAAGTCTCCCCCCCCCCCCCACCTCCCCCCGACACAACCCGACCCGACCCAACCCCCGCCCCCCCTAACTTCCCCCCCCTAACCCCCCCAAAACCTCCCAGCCCCCAACTCGCGCAGGTCACAGAGACCACCGCGGCAGAGCTGCAGAGCAAGGAGGGCACCGATGAGGGCGACCGCTTTGTGGGTGCAGCCGCCCGGGCACTCAGAGCTGACACGTTTTGACGTGAGACTCGCGGCGCTGGCGGTTCGCCGTCCAAATGGGGGGGGGGGGTTTAGGTGTTCAGTTGGTTTAGAGCGGTGTTTTCATTTGACCCACTATTAAACTTTTAGTAGCGGACTTGAGGAAAGCCCAGATAAGTTTGGACGCCTACTTTACCACAAGGCTGATTTTTTGCTCAGCGGCAAAGTGAATGGAGTAGTTTGTGCGTTCCGCCTCCAAGCTCCAACCAATTCCATTTTCGTTTGGGTTCCCTTGTGAAGAACGCGTAAAGCGCGTGGACACATGTGGACACCCTTATATTCTATTTGTTTGGCGGGTTTGCAAAATTGATCAGGGCTCAATTCATGTTCACCTTCGGAGTCACCGAGCATTTTTCCCGTGTCCTATTTCCCTGGTTTTGCGTCGGATTCAACCAATTATCATCACCACCTGAATGTGCTGACCGGGTTTTGGGAGCAACCGTGGCTGTCCAAAATCGAAGACCTTTTTGATACATGCTGCTTGAAGCAGGAAACAAATGCAAGCTGACCCCATGTTTAGGGAGCCATTGGAAGTCCGCCAAACCACCAACGACTTTCATTTGCGTGAGAATATGTTTTATTTTGTTTTGTTGCTTGCTTCAAGACCTCCCTCCAAAAAAAAAGAGAAAACGGTGTCCTTCAGTTTCCCTGTCAGTTTCGGCACAAAACCAGAGGTACCACGTCCTCCCCAAAAACCGTCCCCACCAGCCAACCACCCGAGTCCCGACCCGAGTGAGGTGAGGGCCTCCCTGGCCGCGGCCACCGCCTCCAACGCGGCGATGTCCGCGGCCATCGCGGCGGTGGAGGGCAACCGCCAGGTGATCCAGGCGCGGAGTGGCGGGCGCGAGCGGAGCTGGGAGAGGCTTTTTTGGGAGGGGGTTGTTCTGATTGGTTTGTCAACTTGCGAGGCGTTCTTTCCATTTTTTGTGGGGGGGGGGGGGGGAATCTGGTTACATGAGTTTGGACACTTTTTGGCCAGTCCACTCAGGAAGTGAGTTGTTTGGAGAGGACGTGTTTTCCCCCTGTCAATCAACTGGGGGGCTGGGGTTCACCCTACTCACTGTTTTCGAGTGCGGCTTCGTTGTGTCTCTTGTTTTGGGAGCAACGCCTTTGGTAAGCTTGAGCGGCAAACCCAAAGGGCCACCCATGTTTGGTTTGTTCTTGCGGGTCTTATGTTGTGATTGTTGTTTGTTGTTTCTGGTTGTTTACTTTATCTCTTTCTTTACTTTTTTTTTGTTTTGGGGGGGGGGGGGGGGGCGTGGGTCAATATTGTGAGACACACCCTGCTCAATATCTTTGTCCTGCGCTCTCGATCAAGCTTCCACGTGAGCTGGGCGATGGGCGATGCCCAGCGAGACCAAGCAAGCGGGCGGACATCCCAACAAATCTGAGGCTTGGCGACGTACTGTGGATGGAAATCCGTTCGCACCACGTTGAAACCGTGGGAAACCATTGTTTGTTGGTATTTACAAGGGAATCATCATTCCAGGGTTTCTTAGGTGGTGCAGGATTTTGTCCATCCACAGTATGCTTAGGTTAGGTGTCCTGTGTTAGTTTCTTTTTTGGGTTGCAAGTGGATGGGTTTCACTGGTTTACATGGGTAGCTTGTTTTCCATTTGCCAGGGAAACCCAACTATCTCCCAAAAGCCCACCGATGGTCGTATGTCATTGCAATCAACCTGAGTCAAAGTGTTGCTGTATGTTTGGACCACCCAAATTCAAGATCCGCTTGCTTACATGGATTACCCCCAGTGTACTTCAGAAAGTTGAAGACCAGTTGCAACTTTTGAATGTTGTCGCCCTTTTTGACTTCCGCCAGTCGCTGCACTTCAAGCTTGTCCCAATGCGAAAAACGAACCTTCTTGAGTACTTTTTGGGGAGGGAACCGGAGAAACCGGTTTGCTTTCCCTACTGTAGAGAGCGCACGGTTGAGCCTGCTACCCCCCCGCCAATCATGGGACAACTGTCCGTTTTGGGGTTTCCCCACTGCCCACTGTCATGTTTGTTGGAGAGAGGCTGTGAGTGCGCCTCAAGGATCCCCGAAGAGGGTCTGCTTGGGCAGGCCCTGCCACGTGCCAAGGCGTTTATCAAAACCGCGAACCGGGGAGTGCAAGGAGATCTCACGCCCTGAGCAATGTATGGAGGGTGCACGGGTGCACCCAAGAAAGAGACACTTCTCCATATGGTATATGGAGCGGGGGCATGGTGTTCCTTGTTTCCATCTGGTGATTTACCATACATTGCCCGGCTTGGTGTTCTTTAGTCCGGACAGGTCTGATTCATTCCCAAGCTTGGTCGCCGATGTGACACACACACACGCGCGCGCACACGCGCACACACACACAACTACCCCGAAACAGAGTTTTTCTGCCAACTTGAATTTTGTTAGGTGGTTTGTCGTGGGTAGGGCGCGTTGAAGAAAGGCGCAGCGCAGCGTGCGCGTGCGTGTGGATATGTGTGCTCGCGCCACCATGTGCTTGAACAAAACCTGCCAGGCAGCGCACGCAAAGACGGAACCTGCTGAGGCCCGGTGCTTGTTCGGAGAGTTTGCTCCGACATGGCCAGATTTTGCGGGGAACCAGCTTGTAGTGTCCCTTCCATCTGCTCGCACTGACCGGCTGGATTGTTGCTGTTTTGGGTTCCTTCATTTCGCTTTCGGGGAACTGGGTTTGCACCACAACGCTGAGCATGCTACACGGCGCTACCCGGTTGGTAAAGAGGGACTATCAGTTCAGGGAGCGTGGCGCACGTGCCCAGTCGCTGGTCCCACCATCATGGAACCTGACGGGGACCCGGTCCCTTGAAAAGGAGAATGGTCCAAACCAGAACCCCCCCGAATGTCAGGATCCATGTGAATTGGTACGAATGTCCCCCTCGACTTTTGCTGGACTTTTGCCCAAAGAGGAAGAGCATTGATCTTTGAGCTGTGACATTGAATTTGCGGGGGTGTCCAACGAAACATTGCATGCGCTTGCCTTTGCTTATCCTGGAACAGTTCCCCTTATCATAGCCCTGCTCACCGTTGTTCGAGCAAAGCGAAGACACTTCGATCTGGTGCTGTTGCACCCTTTGGCTGAAATGACATTATGATGTCCCCTTTCTTTCTGCTCTTCCAGCTTGTTTGTTTGCTTGCTTGTTTGTTTGTTTGTTCGTTTGCTTGCTTGTTTGTTGGTGTGTGTGCTTGTTTGTTCGTTCGTTCGTTCGTTCGTTTGTTTGTTTGTTTGTTTGTTTGTTTGTTTGTTTGGGCCCTCCCACTGTGGATGGACAAAATCCATTCGCACCACTTTGAAACCATGGTTGAAACCATTGTTTGTTGGTTGTTTGCAGGGCAGTCGAATCATTCCAGAGTTTCACAGGTGGTGCGAACTTTTCTTTCCAGGCCCAAGCGCTGATTCACAATGTTCTAAGTCCCCCAGTAGTGCCCGTCTCCTCCCCTTTTTTGGGGGGAGGGTTCCTATTAAAATAGACTACAGAAAAGAAAAAAGTTGGTGCCCTAACCTCCAACCTCTCCACTGGAGGACCTAGATGCGCTGATTCGTCTCACTTCTCCTTTTCGGTCCTTGGAGATTTGCATTTCTCGCGAGGCTGAGGAAGAGGAGGCCCAGGAGGCCGAAGCATTTGGAGTGTGGGGGGAAGGGATTCACCCTTGAGCCTTACCATCCTAATGATTGCTGCTAATAGGCTTTGCTTGTGGCCATTTACCTTCCAATCAGACATGCCAAGCCGGGAAAGGAGGCGGTGTTTTTGGTTTTTCCTGCCGGAAAGTCCAAGATGTGTTTCTCTTTTTGGTGGCTTTAAACATGACCTTTTGCTTGCCGATGGGAGTGTCCTTCGGAGGGGTGATGTTCAAAGAAGACATATAGGCTGGGCTGTTCAAAGGATGTGGTCCCCTTTGCCGTGGCTTTCCTATTGGGATTACGGAAAATCGGATTGGCCAACTCTGCGTTTTGAACAGCCCAGATAGGAAATCCCGTTTACTAGCCGCTTGATTAGGGCTCTTTTTTCTGCTCCCTCCGCGATTGTTCTGAACGTTTCCCAAATGGTGCAAAATCCGCGCCGACCGGCACCAGTTTGGGATAGATGACGCCCGAGTTCAATACTGGTTTAGAAAGCGCGGTCCCAGGTGAGGTGGTTGTTATCCATCCAAGCTACGTTCGCCTTGGTGGTTTGCGTTTTTCCTCCTTAAACCCACCACTTGCAGGAGTAGCTACGTGAAATGATGGCTGCCATGGGAGCCACCGCTTCGTGGTTGCCAATCTTCGGATCAGAGGTGCCCTCAAGTTGTATAATTCTTCGGGCCGGCTATCCTCAAACAGTCTGATTTAACATTCGGGGACCTACGAAGACTGGGCACAGGGGTGTCCTTGTATATACTGAGGTTAGAAATGGATCGCACTGGTTTAATGTAGACTGGTGTTGGTCCATGTGACAACCTACGAAAACTCGGCGGTCCCTTGTTCCCTGTCACTACATTGGGGGCCCGTTGCTGCACTGAACCTGTGTCAGGTTGCCACTTACAACCCCCTCCCGCAGTCCCTTGGTCCCGTAAGCAACTCTCCCAAAGCTGTTGCCAGAAAGGCGGGTCCACATTTTGCGTTGAAGAGCCTGCAAGTTTGTTGGAGCAGAAGCGAGTAGTCTATCACGGTGCGCGGTGCCCATTCGCTGCGAGGCGCAAGGACAATTCGCTCGCTCGCACTTTCCTCTTGAAAAGGCCTCCTGTCCGCTGTAATGGTTGGAAATAGGGTACACCAATTAATTCACTTGGCTAGTTGAAAACTCACACTCAAATGGCTTTTGCTTTATTGAGGGCGCCCCTTTTTGTGTTTTTGCTTTAAAGTATCGACAACCGAAGCCGTTTCTGGGGGTTGCATCGCGCAGGCCAAGTCGGAGAAGTCGGAGTCAGATAGGCCGGTAGGGGGCGAGCCAGTTGACTCGGTTGGGATCCGAAGCTTGTCGCACTCCTGAGTTCCGTTTCGGACTTTATACTTGTTGGGTTTGGACCCCACTTTCGATCAACTTTTTTTGTCAATCCACTCGATCGGAAGCGAGTGGTCCGGGGCCCAACAGTGGACCACAGCAATTTGGTGCCCCTTCTACAGGGGCCACTGGGTAGAAACTCTCTTCGGGAACCTGGCCAACGTTGGTACTGAAATGGGCAGGCCGAGGGGTACGTCAGGTAAGTGGGTAATTTGCCTGGTGATACTCCGCATACGTAAAACCTTGGCTTTTGTGGGATAGAACCTTGGTTATTACCCACTTACTCAATATCGGCCCTTGAAGTAGCATTGCCTGCTGTGAAGCGATCGTTCATATATATATATATATATATGCATACACACACACACATATATATATATATATGTTTTATTCGACCCCCCTCTATGGACCCTGCTTTTAGTGCCTTGTGGGGATGATAAATCTAGAATCTGGAGATTCAAATTCACGAATTTCCAATTGTGGGAGCCCGGAGTCCTCCAAAATGTCCCAAGATGACACCGGATCTTGCTCCAACTAGACTTGGGACTTTGAATATAGTTTAGTAAGGATATAATTTTCCAAAATGCGTTTTATGTTCACATATAAAGTAAATAAGCAATTCCTGTCCAAATAAGAGTTTTATGAACATGTGAATATAATTATGGGTAAACTCCAACTAATCTTTAACAGAAGAAATTGGATAGGAGGGCATTCCCAAAACGAACACAATTCAATTAGCATTCGAAAAGAACAATTAAATGGAAACTAAGTCTCAGATATGAATCATAATAAATATGGCTAAACATTTAAGGGACTTCTAAGTGGAAATTCGACATGCGATTTGTGTTATTTACATTCTGTTTTTTGTAGCATAAGAGAGGTCCAAAATCAAACTTGTTAGACGGTGTTTCAAAATGGACGTTTCAAGGGAAAAGAAAGGTGCAAATTCTTAAACTACCTCGAAACAGGGATTAATCCATTGTGTTTATAGATTTTTTTGAGCAGGAAATCATAATCTATTCTATCTCAAAAGGCGGAGGTAGTAGATGACCAGAGACCAGCAAGCGATGCGCTTGCTGACTTGTGGCGGGTGAGTGCTTGAAGGAGCAGGGTGCCTCGCAAGTTTTTAGTACCCCTGGCTATAATCCACATAGGAGACTTATGACCATGGCAAATGGGATACAACCATCATCCACTTACTGAGTACCCCGCCCCTTTCTGTGACGATCTGGCCAAAGTTGCAGGGGCGCGACGGGCTCCGGTTCGGCGCAGTTTGGCTGGCTGACTTTGGCGAAACGAGGGGTACCTTCAGAAGTACCTTCCCAGCGGACAATGCCAGCAAATGGAACGATATCAGAGCAGACGGAACTAGTGAGGAAGTTTGAGCACATCCTTGGTTGAACCGGTACCCTGCTCCAGATCTACATGGCACAAACCATCACTTGTCAAGGAATCTGCTTTGTTTGGGGACCTTCTGTTGGGTGCCGTGCTAACTGAAAAATAAAGTGAGCAGTTACATGGCTCAGAGGCTCGTCCTAGGGGCGAGAGGAATCGGCCTCAGCTTTTTTTGCCATGATGTGCGCGGCCAGATGTTGCAGGATGCTGTTCAAGTCGCCGTTTTTGGAATCGATTCCGCTGCTGGGAAAGACGCTAGATCCGAGCACCTTCCGCGATCGGATGACGGGTACGTGGACCACCATCGGTGTGGTAAGTGCTCTGTTTCTTACCATGCTGAACTATCCCAACCCAGCAATCTGCGAGGAGGAGCTGGTACTTCTCACGCCTAGCCAAGGCTTTTGCGACACTCTGCACCCACTTCTGTGCGTTATAGCCATGGCTTCGAATGTCGTCGCAGTGATCATGACCCTCAATTGCCCAGAGCCGACCTTTTGAACCTTTTGGTTTTCCCTTTTTGGTTCACTAGTAGAGGTCCAAAAGGTTAACCTTGTATTTCCAGGTCCCAGAAGGGGCAAGTGAGGACCACAATACTTATTACGCAAGTGAACTTCGTGCCCGATGACCAGCTGGCCAGTTGGGTCGCCACACTCCCCTGGAGCACCGAGATGCCGGTGGTGAGCTTCGTGCTCGGCGCCTTCTTCTCAGCGGCGGATTTGGTCTGGCTGGGGGTGGTACACCATGGCCCCTTCGGGATCCAGGCGGGCGAAAGAAAAGCCATGGACCGGTCCTACTGGTCCCTTTGCAGAGGTGGTTCAATTGGGGATGATGGATGAGAATTGGCCCGCACTTTTTTTTCGCCCAGCCTACAGTAGTACGACAGTTAGGTAACAGTAGACGGGAGCAATTCCGCCATTCTGGTGCCGCCCGCTTTTACCCTGGTGTAAGTGAGGATGCTTAAACCGCTTTGAAGCTCATGTTTCATGGAGCCCTTTTTTGGAGGATGATTAAGCTACTTGGGCTCTTGTCATGTTCAGGTCAGCATCATGGCCTTGACCGTCGCTGCTATACTATTGGTCTACTATGCCTACATCCGCATCAAGACCAACAGCATTATTTTGAGCTCGCATCAAGGTGAGAACCACTACCAGGCGTCTCACACTGAGTAGGTGCCGCCACCAAGTGGCAATGCCGAACCATTGGCCAAGAGACAAAGGCCTCACCTGCTTCCAGATGCCACTTTAGTACTTGGTGGGTCCTTTGGAACCGCAGAAATGGGTGAATTTTGGGATGTTCGCCAACCACCAGGGCCTTGAATCAACTTGAATCTTGCTAGCTCCAGGACTGCCACTCACCGCTGTATGTAGCCAGGGAAAGCCATGTGAAACTTGACGCAAAGGTCTGAATACCTGCTACCGTGATAGCCAGGAGCCTCAGTGAGGCTCCCTTTTGAACTCCACGTGCCAGGTCTGAGCAGCCGGAAGAGACTCGGCGTGTGTCGGAGGATTTGGGCGTCAGGAGGCCAGATTGAGCAATGCTTCGAGAGATTGCTGGCCATGTGGATTGCGCAATCCGAGACCGCACGAAATGAAAGCATTGAAACCATGGTTTGTTTGTGTATTTACGCTGGGGAATCAGCATTCTAGGGCTTCTTAGGTGGTGCTGGACTTCGTCCATGCACAGTAGGGGAAAGGAGGAAACGAGCGGAAGGTGATGCCAAGTCTTCATAGGCCCCCTTTTCAGGGGGTTGCAAGTTGGCCCGCTCACAGCGTTGCGTGACATTCGGTTGGCGGCTGCGGTATCACCCGCCTGTTTTGGGGACGTCAGGCAGATCACCCAGAGGAACAACAACCACAAGGCGAGTCGCAGAGACGCAGAGACCGACTCGGCCCAATTGCAAGAAGCAAGCGATACACACAATGTGGATGGACGAAATCCCTTTCGCACCATCATTCAGAAACCCTACAGAGATTTCCCCCCGTAAAAACCGTCGCACTTGGTTTTAAAGTGGTGCCGGGCTTTGTCCATTCACAATAGGTGTCCTTAGCTTAGTTTGGCTAGACATAGGCGGGTTCCACTGCTTTAGAGGGGCTTTATGCCGCATCGACCAGGGAAATCCAAAGGCCACCTATGGATGCAGATTTCAGCCAGCAAAGACTGCTCCGTATTGAGGGGTCCGGCCCAGATCGAGGCGAGGATTTGGCCCACGTGCGGACACGCGGCAAGTTATGTAGCAACGTCGCCGTGGATTCTGCACCCATGATGAAGGTCTTGTACTCGGGAAGTTCCTTGCTTCAGGGGCGGTGTGTGGGTGTGTGTGTGTGTGTGTGCGTGTGAGAGTGATCTCGCAATTTGCTCAGACCTGTGCTTCACATCATGCAGGCATTGAGACTTCACTCAGCAAACCCTTCGATCAGAACCTGCGAGAACTCCCTCAAAGACCATTCTAGTGATAAACCAAAAGTTCGGACCTGGCCAATCCACTCAATAAGTGAGCGTCCTTGAGAAAGGGGGTGTTCAAGGTAGGTGCGGCTTCGTGCAGAGAGTTGCAACTACTCTCAACCAGGTGCTTCAAAGACTGAACGCCGCGAGCTCAGAAGCCGGGTTGAGAGTTAATCCGCAAGATTCTTACCTGTAGTTACGAAAGCGGTCCCCTTTGTGGTGATTTCCCAATAGGGATTTTAGAAAATTGGATTGGCCAACAGTGTGTGTGTGTGAAGGGAGCTGCGGAAAAGTAGGAGCATGGCTAAATCCAAAGGTTGCTACAAAACAACGGCCCAAATTCTGAAGCCCGGCATGCTGGGACGTTTGCTAGAGTCAGACTGGTAATTCGGGTTTGCCGTTATTTGGGGGTACGTTTTTGGGTTGCTTTAAGGGAACACGAGACGGACCACCACCATTTTGAGGGTCCCACCATAAGAAAGACACCCATCTGGAGGCTTGATTTCCGATCCATCTTGTCCATCGAGTCACAGAGCCTCCGCTCCCCTAAGTTGACCGTGAAGCCCCTCGTGCAGACCATCCCTATACCCAAAGCCTTAGAGAGCCTAAGGCTTACAGGAAGGCCTTCTATGTAGGGGGGAGGGTCTAGGGGGGACTACTGTAGTGTATGAGAATTCATTGCCAGCCTTCAAAGTGGCCGTGATCGAGGGTCCCCAATCTCAGGTCTGGCTGGCCCGAAGCCAGCCTTCAAATGTTGGATTTGTTTCCTGTTGGTCCATGTTCCTGGAGGTCCCAATTGGGTATAGAGGATTAGCACATTCTCTCAAGACGTTGCCCTCCATCAAACATGGAAGCGCACAGGCTTTTGGAGGCCAAATGTCCTTTTGAAAAAGGACTTTCAAAAGGACATGCGCACCTTTACGTTAGGCCCGGCTGAGTCTCGGTTGCCTTGCAGCCTTCCGAGCAGATAGGCCGAGATCCTGACGCACCAGAAGAACGTCCGGCAGTTCCTGCAGGCCCGAATGGGCCCATCGGCAACAAGTTGACCTGGGCCCCCATCTTTTTCTGAGGGTACCCGTTTTCGGGTCTGAAATATACGGAAGCCCAAAAGGAGACGCCATTTTGGGGATCCCTAAGTTGGAAGCAGATGCTATGCCCACGTTCCCGGCTGCGGGCCTCTTGGTCATGGCTTGAATGAGGCCTGGTACGAGAAGTGAACCGTGGATGGACCAAGCCCAGCTGCGCTAAGTGGCTTCCCCACGCCGGAACCGGGACCCAGGTTTTATGGGATCATACGCCGACTTACTTGCCCAAAGAGCAAATCATCACCTTATTACTTCAGGGGCCTTCAAAGGCAACTGAGATTCATTTCCCGTTATCCCTGGGGGTAGTAGTTTGGGGGCAGTGGACATCATCTTAGATAATGAAGCTCCCACCAAGAAAACGCAAAAATGCACAAGCTGGCTTTGTGGCACAATGGCAAACGTGAGTCCTGCCGGTCTCAAGATTCTGATGGAATGTGTGCGGTCTTGGTTTGGAGGATGCGGAGTCTGGGGCATGCTTTGACATCTGGCGCGGAAGTCGTTTGCGCGGAACCTTGACAAGGGACAAGGCATTTGCATGGTTCTTCCTGGTTCAGCTTCAATTTGTTTGGCAAGCCCAAAATGGAAATTGGGGGGCTCGACAGGCTGACCATTTCCGGATACGGAAACGGGTATGGGTCAAAATTCAGCCACCAGAGGACCGCAGGTTTTAGTCGTTTTAGCTCATGTTTCCACTTACCAGGGCTCTACTGGAGGACCTAGTTGGGGTTACCCTACTTTTGGACTCACACCCAAAATGGAGCGGAAAGTGGCGCCAGGCCAACCGCCAGCTGATCCCGGAAGTGACCTGCGAGGCCAAGGGCAAGGCGCACATGCTGCCGGGCCCTTGGCGTGTCCACCCATAGATCGCGGAGGTGGACGTGGGCCATCACATATGTCAGAAACCTGCAGGTCCTCCGGGTAAGGGGCATGGACGTGGGACAGATGAAGGGTCCATTCACACGGGCCCATCAGATTTTGCGGTGCTGGATTCCGCGGCGCTTTCGCTGAGGTTGCAGGACTATGCTTGTGAGGCCGAGCACGTGCCGACGCGCGGGCGGTCCGGGTGAAACAACCACCTAAGAAACCTGGGAAAGATGATTCCCTTGCAATACCACACACAATGGGATTCTGTGGTTTCACAGTGCAAAATACCTGTTCAGTTCCCAAACTCGAAGCATGTTGCGGGCAGTACCATCAGTTGGTCTTGACTGGCTTAGGTTTTTGTTGAACCTCTGGTTCTCGAGGGCAAATGGGAAATAACCACACCTCCAAACCGATCCAAGCCACCCTTCTCGAGGAAAGCCGAGAGGGCAAAGCATTTGGGGTGGCCCTTGGTTGCGAGCAAGAAACACGGGGCCCCACGAAGGAGCTTGGAGCGAGAAAACGCCCAGATCCATTTGCCTGGTTTTGTAGGTCACCAAGGGCTTGCCACCCTTTAACCTGGTTACCTACTATATGGGTCACTGGGATCCGCTGGGAAGTACATCCATTAACCTTTGCAATTGAAAGTGGTCTTCCAGAACTACCTGTCAGTGGGGGACTCCATGTTCTCATCCTTCAAGACAGCCGTACGGACTTGGATTCGTTGGCCCCTTTGATCCCAACCCATGTTTAGCCTATAGTTGTTCGTTCCCCTGAGAAATGCCACACGTTGACATGTGTTGCAATCAGCTTTCCAAAGCCGACGTTTTTGCCCGGGTTTCCCCAAACAGTCCAGCTTCCGAAAAGACATCCGTGTTTGTGGGCAACAAGTTGCACGTTTTCCAGACACTCTGCTTAGCACCCAGAACAACTTGGCGGGGTATGGCACGCAGGTGCGACTGGAGTTGCAGCAGCTTCCAGTGGAGGCCGACCGATTTTTGTGCATAGAGATATCCATTGCTCCGTGCTTTGAGTCGTCCAGGTCCCCTGCCTTACCCCATGTTCACTTTAGACCCATCAAGTTTCCAAACTTGAAGGCGTCCACCCCCCCTTCGCGCACCGGGCGCGTTCGCTCACTTCTCGAGTTCCGAAACTCGGACTTTAGACACTTTCTGAATAAGTTGCCGTCCCAGCGGTAAGCCAAAAGACTTGTTTTGGCCCAGCCGCTCGGAAAGTGAATCATCATCCGGACCATGCAAACTAGTGGAGTCTCCTCACATCGAGGCAAGGGTGGTTCTCATCTCATTGAGTCGAATCTGAAGTTAACAATATCGAGGTCAGCTGCACGCTTCACGAATAATTATGGACATGCAGCCGCCAAAAGGCGCAAAAATTGAAAAAGTCATACCCATGGATTGATATACTGGGTGCTGAATGCCCGTCATGCTTACGTCCTTCAAAGGAAGCCACAGGTGGATGGCATTTGTTCCAGACCTCCACCGCACATGTAACTCCACACAATCCGCTTTTGAGTTCTTTGAGACCTTGGCCCAAATCCATCCCAATTCCCCTTGTGCCAGATGCTAGCGTTTTCCCTTTTCATGGTGTCCCACTGAGGAACTGCGCGAAGCGCCAACGAGAAAAACCAAACACAATTTGAGGGTGCAACCTTCAGGGTATGACTCTGCTTAAGATGCTGCAGAATGGCCCCCTTGGCTCATGGCCCATTCACATTTCCTTAGATGTGAGTTCTTGGAGAACCAAGTTGAGAACTCAACCCCTGGTCCATTTCATGAATCCTGCATATTCTTTGCGGGGGGGTGTCCCCTTACACACCCGGATCAGTTTTGAGGGAAGACCAGCAATAAAGCCCATGGCCCATAGCTCTCACAGGAATCTCCTGTGAAAGGGCCTCCTTTTTGAGCTCCACGGGCTACAAATGCCACAAACGGAAGAATGGGTTCGGCTGCACTTACATTGACTTTCCTCAAGATCATGGGAATCATGTTTGCAAATCTTCCAAAAATTCACGCCACCTGCTTTGGGTGCCGTCCCCAGCTGTCCAAAAGAGCTGGGATTTTGGGTTGCCGTGTGGGACCGTGTGCGCGTTCCATGGGGGTTCTTTGTGTTTGGTTCCAATGGGCGCGGTAGAGGAGCTGCTGCCGGCGCTGAAGAGCTGCGGTCTGCTGGCGCCCCTCTTCCAGAAGCAGGTCCTCGCCATCCCGGTCTGCCCCAAGGCAGGGCACAGGCTGGTGCCGAACGACGCATGAAAGCGCCCAGGCGCCGACGTCCATCTGAAAGGCACATGTGTTCTTGCGATGTTGTTGCCCCTTTTTTGGCTTCAGACTGCAGCTGCCGTGTGCGAGTGACGGAGATTTGTGCGCGTGTTTTCCTTCTTTGGTTTTAAAGGGACAACATTATCACTTGAATTCACTTGATCTTTTTGCAAGGGGCTTGAGCAAATGGAAGACGACAGGCAAGGCAGGGTTCCGAAGGGGAGGCAACTCACATGTTGAGGAAATCGGACAGTGTGGCGAATCAGGTGTAGGTATTCTTATCATGAGTGGACACCCGGGCTGAGTCTTGTTCATTCCCCTCAAACTCAACGAGTGCCGGGCCCCTACATCAAGACAGGGCTCTTGGACGTGTGAATTGCGTTCTTAGTTTCATGTTGGAAACACGGCTTTTAGCCTTCCTCCCACGTTGCCATGGCACTTGACAGAGGCTTCCTTCAAGAGGAAATTGATATTCCGGGTAGCCGCGCACGGTGCTATGCTAGTGGGAGGAAGGGCGCATGAATAAACCTACAGAAGTTGATGGACCTTTTGCTTGTTCGGGGGCTTGGAGCAACGGCTTGCCTTCGCTTGGCACCGCGGGAAGCGCCAGACCCGGGTCTTAAAGATGACCGCGCTCTACGATCTGCAGACCACTCTGCAGGCACTCGCTTCCTGGGTTTCGGGATCAGGGTTTGGCTCCGTAGATGGACGCGGAATCCGAAGAGCCGCCCATTTTTCAAGGATGCCCGAATTTGCAGGGAGACGCCTTTTGGTGACATAGAATTGGCTCCAATGAGATCTGCATTTGCACGGGACCCCACTCCCCCTCCCAAGCAAGACCCCTCCATGTTGGGATGCTGCTGGCCAGTGACAGTGATTTCAGACGAATGTGACCAGGCAACTCATGTCCCCGAAGCGCTTTGTGCGGCGTTCGTCTTCTATCGCCAAGCCTGTCATTTCCCCAAACTCACTCTTTTCCTGCTCGTAGACATTGGACGAAAAACCCGAGCGGTGACCAATCAGCACTGGTGCTTGGACAATGGCCATACTCAGTTGGATGGATGCCTGGATTCTTGTTCAGGGCTGTTGCGCTGGCTCAGTCATAAGGGGATGGCCCAAGATTGGACATGGACCTCAATTGAATCGTTTTTGAAGGGAAACTCACAGGAAGCCTGTCGCTCATGTTGCTGTCCAGGTATCAAAATAGTGATCCCAGATATATGGAGAGGGGCCCACAGTTTGTCCGGTTAGGAGTTGGGATGCTGAACTTTGCGCTTAGCCTCGACTCATGTTGCGAGCGGGTGACCTGGTTTGACGCACTTTCCGCTTGGAACAGTTTGGGCTCCAATAGTAGTGTGAGCGCAGCGCATTCGCCCCGAAGGCATGGTGCCAACAAGCAACCGAAGATTAGGAAGGTGGCTCGCAACCCACATTTTGTCAAGCGCATGGTTGCACCCTCAAATGCTCGGTTCCTTCTGGGTTTCCTTTTTGAACCCATCCAAACTGTTCTGTTGAAACCAAACAGGAGATAACAGGAGTTTGAAGGGGGAGGTGCGATTTCAGGACACCCTTATCTTGCTGGCCCCAGTTGGGTTGGAATGAGCCATTAGAGGATTCCCTTGTAAAGCAGGTGGCTGTTGGAGCATTCCTGGCTTCCTCGGCTTCTGCACTTTCTACTTGTGGGTCTGAACGTTCTGGTGTTAAGTACCTTTTGGGAATAGTAAACAAGCAAGTTGTTTGCCGGTTTCCCCGAATCCTCTCGACCGGTTTATGTGTTCGACCGACATTTACTATGGTTTTCGGGATTTTCAAGGCGTGGTTGCTTTACTCAAACCTGCCATGAGCGTTTGGCCCCGCGCGAAAAAAAATGAGGACAGTGGTTTCTTACCACCAGGAGAAAAGGAAAAAGAAACGGAACAGCGTCTGAAAATCCGTGGTGGTTGGCGTACTCCAAACGCGTCAAATCGTTTTTCCTGTCGGATTGGACTCGCTCGGACACCGGGCAGGTGCTGGAACTGGAAGTCTTTCAGCCGGTGCGGCAGAAGTTGGGCAAGGCGAGGGCCGTTTCTTCCTTTATGGGCATCCTTTTTGTCGAAGCTACCCCTTTTGTGTGTTGTTTTGTGTGTTGTGTTCAAAGGGAAACCCCAAAAGGAAAAACCGCCATATTGGGGTCCCCTAACTAAAGTTGCCAGACCTAACTCACCTTTTTGCCCTTGAAGTCGATGTGGGTTTGTCTTGTTTGGAGTAAAGAAGGAGCCACACCCATTTGGGCATCCTTCATCCATAGGGCCCTCTACCACACAGGAGCTCCCCAGAGCTTGAAAGAAAGAAGGAAAATCGTCTGGCCAAGGATTCTATATGTAAATCTCGTCCAAGGTTCCAAGACCACTCCCCGTGCTCCGGGTACTAGAGGCTGTTCGTTTGGCTTTGGCTCGAACCCCCAAAGGGTGCCAAAAGCAAGGGTATGGTTTAAGACAATCTACTTAGCCGCCAGCATGGCTTGTTCAACTCAGTCCCGAAGTGGTACCGTTTGGCTTCACACTTCGGAAGCCATGCATCAAAAGGAGTATCTCGAGAAGAGTCAGGGAGTTCGGTAGCAACATATTTTAGTGTTGTTCGTCTTAATTTAATGATCAAGTTATAAGTTCTGAGTTTCCGCGCTTGTCAACTTGGTCGAAAAAACAAACCCGTTGCATGTGTCAGTGTAAGGCATGATCCCGGTTGTTTTGGACCTATCAAATCAGTTGCACCGCCGCTTGCAATTTGAAGGGCAGGAGTGCTTTGCAGGAGTGGCCGTGCAAAACAAACATGGGGCTGCGCAAGTAAAGCGCAAGTGAAGCGCAAGGGACGCAGTGATGATTCATCATCATCATCATCATCATCATCATCATCATCATCATCATCATCATCATCATCATCATCATCATCATCATCATCATCATCATCATCATCATCATCATGGCCCAAAGACTAGCAAGTTTTCGCGCAAGTCCCGCGCAAGTCCCGCACAGCCCGCAGATGCCCCCAAACTGCTTGGAGCAGGAGTGCGCCATTTCTGTATTTTGCACTGTCTTTTTTCTGCAGCTCCCAGCAATTTTGCTGAGTGAATTTGTTGGCAGACAGTTTGGAGCGGTATACACACATGAGACCTCATACTGCTTGAGTTGCAATGAAAACAACTTCGGATAAAAGTTTTAATACGGGTTTGTTTTGCCAGCTCTTGTGACAACCTGGTCCAAAGGGATCGTCGGCAGTCGGTAGCAGAATGAGAGGAAATCCCTTCTGAGCCTTGATCCATCGCCAGGCTGATCACGCGTGGGGACACTCAGTCGGAGTTGTTTGCTCAAGTGCAGGTGCAACTCAGGAAAGCCAAAGCCAGTGACCTGAAAATATTGCACAAGTCCCTTTCTTGTTGACATTTTTTGTTCGGGCTAAAACAGATTGGCTTATTCTGATTTGAATTCCTTTCTCCATGAGAGACAACTGCACAAGTTCCTTCGCCCAATTTGCCCCTCTCAGCTCACCCGAGGCCTTTGGATGAGATAGTGCAGCACGTTGACAAGGCTGGAGCTTTCTGACCAAACCCGCGACTCGCGGTCACTACCCGCGAGTTGGACCCAGCCGCCGCTTTTTGGGGCTAGCGGCCAGCTGATGGTTTTTTAGGGTCTTTGATTCGTGCCGGGCTTTGGCGAGCTGGTCCTTTAGCCTTTTTTTCACACGTGCAAGGCAAGGCGGAGGTGGGGATGGGGATGACCTTTTCTCGTGGCATGACAACAGATTATGGAGCCGCGAGTTTCCTAACTTGCAGCTTGCTATATCCAAATTGAAAAATCATATTTTGGGTTACAAGTTTACACTCTTCGACTTGCAATCCTGTTTGTGGCAAGTGAGAACTACCCAAAGACGGATTTTCTCCTCACATGCCGTGGTTGTCAAAAGTTGAAGTTTCATTTGGGCGGGTGCCTGACTTCCAGGGCCCCAAACCTGCCGGCAAACTCGTCAGGAGCTTCGCAGTTACACAGGGGAGGACTGAGTCTGACTGCCTGACGGTTTGACCGTTTGACCGTCTGCCAGCGCGGGCCGAAAAGGTTCAGAGAACTTTCCTGGCAAGGAGGCTGCGAGGGCGCGAGTTCGGCGGTGGAACGGCTCAACGGCTCAACGATTCTTTCAGAGCAGAGTTTGCTGTTTGTAATTGCCCTTGTCCGAAGCCGACCGATTCGGTGCCCTTCTCCATTTTCTGGCGAAAAAAATTGTTTTGGATAATTTTGGGGAGACAACACTAAACAACTGAAGCATCGGCTCTTGCATTGAATGACTCGACCGGGCTCCATCGCCATGTTCGTCCAACCGGACTCAGCGGATCTCGAGCCTGGGCGCGTCCAAAAGGTCCTAGCTGGTGGGCAACTGCTCGAGCTGTTCCTCTCCACGATGGGGAGGTTTATTTGTTTTGTGCTTTTTTGGTGTCTGTTTTTTGTTGGGTTGTGAGGGGGGAAATTCCGAATCAAAGCGGCCATTTTAAGCATTCCACGATGTCGACACTTGCTGTGAACCGAGTTGTCCTTACATCTTCCCCTGATCTTGGAGGTGTTCGCCGCTTAGAGCCCGATGTCGTCAAGCAGGCGCGACCCAAAGTGTGGTCGTCGCACAGCGCAAGGGCCGAAACGAAGAGATGCAAACTGCATGATGAAAGATTAGCGTTTGGAGCAGGGAGAAAAGGGGCAGACCTGTTGGATGGGTAGCTAATCACAGCATGGATGCCTCGCCGCAAGATTGGCTTTTGAACGATCTGGTACACAGTACAGGCCCCGGTCTTGTTTTTTAATGATCCTGTCGTACTTTTCCACCCATGGCTTGCAATACATCTTGCAGTGGATGCTCACCTGAGACACGCTATCTTGGAAAAGGGCTTGCTGATTTCACAGATGTGAAACTATATGGGCAGGCATCTCGGCTCAGGCTGCGTGGCCACCATAGCTCGACAGTCTTGCAGCTTGAAGGGCGCATTACATGATCCTTGGGTCAGCTTGTTGGGTCTTTGGTGCATGGTGCTTGGATGTTCGGACTTTAACTTTTTGCCAACCAATGGGTGTTCCATTCAACCACTAAAAGTTAAACCTTTAGCAGGGGAGCAGATTTCGCAACCGAGTTGCGAAGTATTCGTTTCCAGAGGAAATGGCGTGCGCTGCGCCGGAGTGCGGCGCGAGCGGCTTGAGCGTAGCCAAAGAGGAGCTGGCACAGACGTATGCCAAGGAGGCGTCATGGCCTGGGTCACTTAAAGGGAACATCTCAATATGGATCAACATAGATAATATAAGGTCCAGAATTGGAGGTTTCACTGTGGTAACCATGATGCCCTGTTTCCCCTTAAGCCATCCTGGGGATAAATTGCAGGGTGTAACTTGGGTGAATGAGGGAATGAGGAACAGGTTGGAAGGCCTTCCACTCCCAACCCTGAGGCGGAGGGCTACGAGATGCTCGGCGCAAAGTTGCTGACGGCTTGTGCAAAATTCGGATTCAAGCGGCAGGGAAAAGGTCAAACCCAGTTTAGGGCACGAGGTTTTGAACACAGAGTTGCACACTGGGACTCCTGTTGGATGGTCGCTTGAAATAAGGGACACCAACCGTTTGGATGGGTCCCCTACTTGATTTGAAGGACGCCCCACGTACGAGGTGAGCCTGTTATTCCCAGGTCCTTTGGGGAACTGAGTAGAATTTGCGCATGTTTGCGGACATCGTTTGACACGCATGGAAAAGGGAAGCAGAATCCAAGACCACACCTATCATGGACACGAGCTTGGACAAGGAAAGAAACAGGGGGAAGGAATGCTGAGCATCCCACATAGATCGCGTGTTGTTTTGCACATGTCCAACAAACAGGCTTGACTGCGTGCCACCAAGCCTTTTCTTGGGCAGCTTAAGGGCTCATAGCGCGGCGGTTCTGTTAATGGTGATGTTCCTCTGGACGAGGCTTCAAGACTCACAACCCACCTCCACATACGTGATTCATGCTTGGCATTTCTGCAAGCATGGGATTCAAATGGCGACTGGGCAGAACAACCAGCTGCGCAAAAATCAGAAGAATGCATGACATTGCACGCCTGTTACACCTGCGCAGGTTTTTGCCGAATGTTGTGTTCCTGATCAGGGCTACTTAAAAGATACATTTTACCCATTTGAAAGGGTTTTTTTTCCACCAAAAAGGGGACCACAATTTACAAGGCAATGTTCAGGTGATCCCTGCTGATTTATGTAAAAGCGGGTCGGTCCCTGCATGCAAGGACTCGCCTGCATCCATGGAAACAGATGCCGACATTGCCGATCTTCCAGCGGCTTTCAAGGGCACCAGCACGAATCAAGTCGACAAGTGGCATCAGGTGCCTAAATTGTCCATTTACTGAAGGTTGGTGAAAAAGAAGTTGGTCCATTCGGTTTTGCTCCTTCAGCATGCTTGCACACCCCAAAGTCACGCAGGGAGCGTGAGGGGCGCGCAACCCAATGTTGCGACGTTGGTCGAGGCTTCTGCCCACCCACCGCAATGAGTATGTGTCACAATGTTTGGGTGTCCTGTTGCTTTCCCTAAGCCAACGTGAAAAAGGTTTCCTCGAAACAAAAACA